TGTATGTATGTATGTATGTGTACAGGCAGACACAATTACATATAGCATGTTCACATACCTGCGTATGTAAATTATTCCTGTCAATCAGTCACTCACTCACACATTCACTCACCAACTCACTCACTCACTCACTCTCTCACTCGCTCACAAACCCACTCACTCACTGACTCACTCCCTCACTGACTCTCACTCACTCACTCGCCCACTCAATCACTCACTCTCACTCACTCACTCACCTCACTCAATCACTCTTTCACTCACTCACTCGCTCACTCACATGGCACTCACCTGCCTACCCACCACTCATTGGCTCACTTACGAACCCAGAACACCACCCACACCCACACCCACCCCGAAACAAAATACTGCGCCTCGGCCTTCTCATACCATGCGTGCATCGCGTCGATGATCTCGTAGAACCTGAGTCGCAAATTTTGGGCCACTCTTATTGACTCTTTCCAATTAATACAACAACATTCGGGGCCCTATATTATGTAAAGTACAACCCAGGAGCTTGGTGTACTTGGAGTTTTTTTGCACGTTGGCCTTTTTGAGGCCTTGGAGTTTTGTGTAGATGCTCTCCAATTTCGAAGAGTGCTTCTGCAGGTCGGAAGACAAATCCCCACTGTAATCGATGTGGGCCAAGCTTAAGGCGTACTTCCTCGAGGAAGCGCTCTCGTTCAGGATCTCATTCATGCGATCCTGGCAGAGCCTGAGAACCAGTATCATATGCTGTCACATGCTGTCACTCTCCCACGAACTGTTCTATGCAACGGCACACTCTCCACTGGGGCCACGACTCCCATGGCTCCTTGGGAGCCAGCTTCTCCACATCCTCCTCCGTCCTGGTCTTTGCAGGCTTCGGCTTGGCCACACCGTCCTTCACCATGGCATTCAGGAGGTTTTTCGATCCCTCCTCATTCATGCCCTCCATGGTCGGAAGGGCCCCGGATGCCAGCAAGCCGCCCTCGCCCGTCAAGGCGTCCACGAGGCCCTTATCGGGGGCGTTGTCTTTCACCTTCAGGCCCAACGACTCGGTAGTCTTCGACTCGCGCCGCATCTTCGCACCGCCGCTCACGTAGAAGAAGTACTCTTCCTCGTCCCCGGGGAAGTCCTCGTCTTCCTCATACATTTTCTTCTTCAGCAGCCGGTCGATCAAAGCCTTTGCCTTCCTGAAAGATGCACCGGATGGACTTGCCATGCTATTGAAGACCGGCAGACTGTGATAATCCGAAGCCAAGTGGCTCCGCGGGGTACTTCTTTTCGATCTCACGCTTCTTCAGGCCCTGGCGCTCTTTTCTAGCAAGCGTACTGTTCTCGGCCCTCCTTTCCATGACGAGACTGACCCTTAGATGCCACACAAAACGGAGGCTTATAAAGCCCCTGCAACTTTGCATGGTAAGTATTTCAATAATATGTAGCCAAAACACTTCTCCCAATCGCCTCCACACTCAAGCCATCTACGGAACATATCCAACTTGTTCTTTTCCACGTGCACTGCAAGTGCCGTAGTGCACTTGCGCTTATCCAAGACTTGTCTGCTGAATTTGTCCCATTCATTCTTATGTGTCGTACCTCAGTTCTGGGATTTGTTCATTTCATCATCCTGTGCACACATTGCATGTTAATCACGAGACACACACACAGACAATTTGATGACGAGGCTGCTGTTGGCACTTGCAAGATCAGCAGCACCCTGCTCCGTAGTCTCCCCGGCACAAACCATGGCCTTGCCGATCGCGGCCGCAGCGGTCGGCGTCAGCTTCTGGACAGCCAGGGCCTCCTTCTCCTTCTTCTCTTTCTTCTCCTTGCGGCGGCTTGACAAGTCGTCGGATCTCTCCGGCTTCTCGGTCTTCTTCGCACTGTCCGGCTTCTCGGTCTTCTTCGCACTGTCCGGCTTCTCGGTCTTCTTCTCGCGGTTGTCCGGCTTCTCGGTCTTCTTCTCGCGGTTGTCGGGCTTCTCGGTCTTCTTCTCGCTCTTGTCCGGCTTCTCGTTCTTGCGGTCCTTCTCCGGCTTCTCGGTTTTCTGCTTCTTGGCGGGCTTCTCCGACGACGACAACGACTCGGCCGCCGAGGATGCGTCATCCTCGCTGTCGTCCTCGTCTGCAGCCTCGCTGCAGTCTCCACCTTCGCTCTCGGAACCCAAGGCCGAGGCGGAAGACTCCGGAAGCTCCTCCGAGGCCGTGTCCTCCTGAGAGGCTTGCTCAGAGGAACCCTCGCCGGAACCATCATCGTCCTGCCAATTGGCACGTGATGCTAACGTGCTACAATACTTAAGCCGCTTCGAGCTCTGACTCTCACAGGCAAAGCGCAGCGAGCCGGGCCTGCGGCCCGGTTTGCCCGGCAAGGCGGTCCTCCAAGCTTTCAGCCGACTCCTTGGAGAGGTACTGCTCCACAGTCAGGCCTTCGGCAGCCGCTGCCTTCTTCACCTCCATGAGCGCTTGCAAGACATGACTGTCCGGCGTCCGGCTGCCGTCACTCTTCGCCACCAACGCAGTCCCCTTTGGCGTGACCGGCGTGGCAGTCGACTTCTGCGGCGTGTCGCTGCAGTCACTCTTCGCCACCAACGCAGTCTTTTTTGGCGTGGCAGTCGGCTTCTGCTCCTTGTTCTTCTTCTTGTCTTTCTTGTCCTTCTTCTCGCCCAACTTGGTTTTCCTGAGCAGGCGCCGCTTGGGGCTTGCAAGCTTTTTGTCTTTCACAGAACGTTTGCCCATGGCCACTGCAGTGCAAAGGCCACTCAGATCTACAAAAGCTTCAGCAAAATGCTGCTGATATGCAAAATGTGTCAAGTTGCAAGCGCAGAGCATCACCATGCATTGCGTGGCAGAGGAAAAAACTTACACTGACACATCCGCTTTGCGTGGAAATGAGGCAATGACAATTGTATGCATACATGCATATTCTGTGTATGTATACAATAGCTTCAATAGACATATGCTATATATTTATATACAGACTCAGGTTTTGAAAATGCAATTGATGCACTTAGTTGCATGTTATTATTTTCCTCCTATGTATGTATGCATGTAGGTATGTACACATGTACACATGTACTATGTATGTATGTATGTATGTATGTATGTATGTATGTATGTATGTGTGGTCACTTCTGTAAATGAAGCAGTGGTTCTTTCAAACGAAGCTTGGTGCATAATCCTGTATGCGGTAGATAGGTAGGATGGTAGGTAGGTATGTAGGTAGGTAGGTAGGTAGGTAGGTAGGTAGGGAGGTAGGTAGGTAGGTAGGTAGGTAGGTAGGTAGGTAGGCAGGTAGGAAAGGTGTATAGGTAGGCAGGTAGCTAGGTAGCAGGTGGCCAGGTAGGTGGGTGGGTGGGTAGGTAGGCAGCTGATAGGTAGGTGGGTGGGTGGGGAGGTAGAATTCGGGTACATGGGCAGGAGCATCATGAGCACACTGGGGCCGCGCACCACAAAAACAAGAAGAGAGGCAGCCGCGAACGGTAGCACGCAGCCAAGCCACAGCCAGGAATGGGAGCAC